ATTAAAAAATATATTTTTTTTTTTATTTTTAAGTGTTTGATTTGAAATAATTATTTATCGTTTTATAATCTCTTTAGCTGCCATCATAGTCCACTTAGCTTTTACAATAATGGTCATTATGCCATTTGTGTGGCAATAATTTTTCAGAATAACAAAAAGTTTAAGAGTTTGGTGTTAGACGAAAGACTTAAGTGACAAACTTGATCAATTCGGTCTTCAATTTTATAAGTGCACGTTTTATATAATTCAGCCAATATGGAGGCATGCGTAGTTGCGTTTCTCCTCTACTTGCGCGGTCTAATATATGAAGCAATGCATAAAACAATTACAGTAGTAACATAATTGTAAAATTTTTCAAAAACATTTATCAACATTTTTTAATAAATTCGAGCACTTGTGGCAAGTTTGTTGCTGAAGTCTTTTGTTAGCCACTTGCAAGCTGAATAATGTAACATTTTCCCACTTTTTAGCTTATAGTTTAATAGATTACATTGCATTGCTATAATTTCAAGTAAATATTACAGTTATGTGTCTGAAATTTATAACACATCTCCATTTCCTCAAATAACAAAACTTCAAAAATGAACTGCAGCACAATAGCGAACATTATCCAACAAAGCACAATAGCAATAAGGGCCGAAAATATGCTTGACATCTAAAAGAAATTTTCAGTGATGCGTCGGAAGTGTTTTAGAAATTCTGGGAATTTATTTTTTCTTTTCTTCTTATTGTTCTTGCTTTTGGTATTTTTAAGAATGCTTGTACCTTACTAGATGCTGCTGACTTGGTTAGCCGCTTTAATTCTATTGACGCTGCTTCCTAAGCTGTACATTAAACTAGAGTGTAAGCTCAGTATCAAGCTACTGTGGTTGTTGTTAAGCGACTGTGTGTTACAAGAGTAACGCATCACCAGCACAGTTATTATAGCTTTGTTCCGTTGGTGAGCAATAAAAAGATTTTCTACGAAATATTTTTCTCATATGCTTTTGAATTTTTTATTGAAATTTACAAAAAATTTATTTTGAGTGTCTGTATATATTTACATATTTTTATTTTTTACGTATATGGACAAAAAAGCTTCCGAGGCACAAATAATCTAGCTTTTTCCTGCCTTTTACAAGGTCACATATCAATAGTAGTTTATCTGTCACTTGAGTGTAAAAACAAGTAGTCATCTTGAAGAACGTTTGCATTTATATATATCGGTCTGTCCCGTTAGTAAATAGTTAAGATTTTTAGTGCAACACTAGGAAGTTAACGCAGGCAGATATGATTTTATTTTATTCATATTCGAAGATGCAAGATTTGCCTTTTCTTCCATAGAAGTATATATTAATTGAACATCATATTGAAAGATTATGATTGTTTGAAAGATCTTTTCAATCAAAAAACAAGCTTATTTCATAATGGTAGATTTGTGTATAGCATTAAAACTATATCGAGGTATACTGAGTTTTATTGAACCCAAAGAGTTTGCTTTACTGACCCAATAGTAATCGAAGGTTATACGTGG